GAGATAGCTTCCTAAAATGTGTGATAGAAAATGACCAGGAAAAGAAGGAAGCCGAAGAGAAAGGTACCTGGGTTCAACAGAAGCGCCAGCCTGCTCCACCCAGAGAAGCACACTTTGTGAGAACCAATGGAAAGGAGCCTGAGCTACTGGAACCTATTCTCTATGAATTCATGGCATGATGGGTGTTAAACTAATCTATGGTCTATAAAAAAATAATGTGATAATATACCAAGAGCACCCCGGAAAATGAGAACAGAACCCATCCTGGTGATTCAGGAAGGTTCCTATTGGGAATTTATATCTTTCAGGAGGTATAAGAGTGCTAATCAGATAGAAAGTCCAGGTTGAAAAGGTTGCATGAGTCTAGGCAAGATGGTACATACAGGAAAAGATAAGCAGGTTAATGGTGCTGGGACCTCAAATATGAAGCAGAGTTGGAATCAATAAAGGAAATGGTAGATAGGAACAGTATTCTGGACTGTTCAGAGTTACCATGCTAAGACATTTTGACTTAACTCTGTAAAGAATGGTTTCTTGGGACCAGCAGTTAGCGTAATGGCTGGGTCACTGGACTCTCATGTAGCCGACCGTGGTTCAAGTCCCGAATCCAGTGGCTTAAACTCACACCAGGCACGTGTGCGCCCAAGATCCCCAGAGGAGAATGAAGGAGAAGGGATTGCGGCAAGGCCATCCCCCTGGGGGGGGGGTGTTTTCTCGCTTTCTGTCTCTCTGTCTCTGTCTGTCTTTCTGGAGAGTGCATGCGCCCTATAGCAAAAACCTCTTGCAAAAAAAGAAAAAAAGAATAGTTTCTTAAGGCTTTTTCTTTTTTTGCATTTCAAACTATTAAAATGAATCAGCTCCATGAATCCTGTTCTAAATAAATAAATAGCCCATGTGTGATATACATATAGATATGCTGACACATAAAATTTGTCAGGGATTTCAGTCACTCTACCCATACTCCCAGAAGTCAATCCGTATTTAAAATGCTGGAGATGGAGACAGGGTAAGCTGAGGTGGTGAAGCGGCATTCCCTGGAGTATTTTAAGCAGAGAAGTACATGATCACGTGACAGGCAAATCTGTAGGCAGGGAGTGTGGTATAAAGATATTCTATATCCAGGCAAGAGATGATAAGGTTGTAAACTTGGGCATTGGTGGTAAGGCTTGAGAAGAAGTTATCAAATCAGAATGTCTTGGTGAGCAATTGGAGGACTCAAAGATTACTTCAGGTTTCTAGCTTTGAAAAGGCCAATAAACTGGGATAGAAGGATGGCTAGGAGAAAAAGTAATGAGTTTAATTTTAGTCATTTCAATTTGAAATGCCTTTGGCACAGAAGAGTTGAGTGATTACAGGTAATTGAATATACTAGTCTGAAGTCCCAAGGAAAGATCCAAGCTAGCAATATAGATTTGGGAGATGATTTAAGACTCTACCAATTTGATTTTCATTGCACTAAAGTATCATATAAACATCACCTTTTAAAAATTAAAAACAAAGAATTCATTTTTATTTATTCAATTCTAATTTATCTTTCTTTAACATAATTTTCCCTAGAATAAAATTCTAAACACAGCCCAAAGGATTCTTACTGAACAACATGGTGACTATAGTTAATAAAAATGTATTATATTTTTGAAAATCACTAAAGAGTAGATTTTTGAAGCCCAGTAGGTGGCGTGGTGATTAAGGCACTAGACTCCCACATGGCCCACCAAGGTTCGAGTCCCAGACCTACCGTCTTGCTTTCTCACTTTCCCTTTCTCTGTCTCTCTCTCTCTCTCCTCTCTCTGGTGAGCACACATGCCCTATAGCAAATTTTAAATAATAATAAAATAAATGAAAGATGATTCTGAAAAACGAGAGTAGATTTTAAGTGTTCTCAACACAAGAAAGGGTATGTGAGGTAATGCATATGTTAATGAGCTCAATGTAGTCATTCACTATGCACACATATGTCAAAACATCAGGTTCTACATTATATATATGGTTAAAAAAACACAGAAGATCTTGAATTTAGTATCACAATATTCCATCAGCGTGAGAGAATCACATGGTCATTATGATATCAGCAAGAAATCTAGTTAAGATCCTCTATTGGATCTACTTTCTCACTACTTTCTTACTCCTTTTTCCCTTTCACCTTACATTCTCAGGCCTACATAAGTCAGACATCAAAAGATGGGGTGGAGGGGCCACAGTACTGACAGAGCTGAACCTGCAGGGGAGAAGTCCTAGGTTCACTTCCTGGGATCTCCCTGAGCATGCTGGGCACACACAGACGTGTCCATGATACAGGCCAGCTGACAATGGGAGTGGATTGCAGCATGAAGACCCTGTTGAGGGGTACCTATTTCTCTGTCTCACTGTCTCTCTCTCAAGGAAGAAATAAAAACTTTTAAAAAACTGATAAATAGCAAAAAAAAATTCAATGTTGAGTATTAATAGTGAAAATTCATTCATATTCAGTTTTATGAAACACAGAATCAAATGATTTTATTGTACCTATATTTTAGTAAAGTTAGTATATTGTTGCAAATTCCTATGCTGCTATACCTGGACACGAAATTGAGATTTCCAACAGGTCTTCCCCACAATCCACATAGTTCATCCTCCACAAAGCAGCCAAGTAATTTTGTGAATGTCAATCAGAGCATGACAGCTCCTGCTCAAACCATCCAATACATTCCTATTGTTGTTCCAATAAAGCCCAATTTCTTATCTCATTGTGCCCCACTCCTTCTCTTCCGCACACTCCCAGGCCTTCCCTGGTTCCCTTAAGAAAAAAATTCTTTCTTAGAACTACCATTGCGTTCCTCTTCCCAGAACTCTCTGCCCTGCTTATTTCATGTAACAGGCTCTAGTCCTCTTCCATGAATAAATTCAAATAGTTACTCCTTAAAGCTGCCTTCCGAAGGCCTCCTTAACTACCTTCCCCACTCTCTGTCATGTTACTGTTTGTCTACATAGCACTTATCAAGACTTCAGATTGTGATTTTTGTTTTATATCGTTTGTTTTAGTGTGTTTATTGTGTATTGAAATCATAAAGAGGGTGACTTCATTTAAAACTTTTACACTATGCAAAATAGGTGATTACTAAATAGTTTTGAAATGAATGAACTGATTGAACAGGTAACCTGTTCCCATAAACCTAGTTAAGTAGTAAGTGAAAAGAGAAAACATGAACAAAGATGCATCTGTGCTTGGTGCTGACAATTGAGTGGCACCTTTACGTAGTTCAGTCTGATGGAGAAGGCAACAGACACTTTGGTACCGTGTGGGAAATGCTAATGAGGATGCAAACACAAGGCCCCATCTAGGCCCCCTGGGATCACAAAAGAGAGAAGCCTAATTTTGGGGGGAAGGTATACATTTGTTGCATAACCCCAGATGGCATCATTTACAAGATTTTTTTTTCACGTTTAAATTTATACTTAATCACTGTACATTTATACAGCATACAAAATGGTTTTGTTTTCCAGCATGAATACAGTGCACATTAGTCCATTCATGGATATTACCATGACATCATCAACAGATAACTTTTTATTTTTGTTTCTGTTAAATATTCCCCCCCCCCGATCCCTTACTTCCCACCCCACCCCATAGTACCCACCTCCTATTATACTAATCTGGTATCTTTACTTGCCCTCTCTGTCATGATACCTTCCAATCTTTTGGTTTCTGCCATAGATTGCAGACATTCTGTATATATTAAGAAGGACATACGGGGGCAGGAGGTGGCATAGTAGTTGAGGTGCTGGACCCCCACATGGTCCACCAGGGTTCAAGTCCCAGACTCAGTGGCTTGAAAATCATTCATGCATGTTGGTACATGTCCAAAATACTGAGAGGAAATGGAGGAGAAGGGATTGTGGCATGGCCATCCACCCTGGGGGCTGATTTCTCACTTTTCCTCTCTCTGTCTCTCTCCAGGAAGTGCACATTGCACTACTGCAAAACTCTGAAAAAAAAGAAAGATAAAAGAAAGACATATAATGCCTATCTTTCATAGTCTGGATTGCTTCACTTGGTATTAAGTCATCCATATTTGCCCACTTTGTATCAAATGTCAAGGTCTCATTGTCCTTTATAGCTGAGAAGTAATTCAAAGTATCTAAGAGCCTAATTATACCTAAAGAAGTGGTTAAGTCTGGGGGGGGCCAGTAGATGGCATAGCAGTTTCCTTGCAGGACTCCCACATGGCTGACCATCCTCCCAGTGCAGTCCTGGTGGTTTGACAGTCACGCCCAGCACGTGTGCATGCATGCCCAAGATCCCAGGAGAACAGAGGAGAAGGGATTGTAGCATGGCCATTCTGGGGAAGAAGTTCAGTTCTCACTTCTTCTCTCACTGTCTCTGTCTCTCCCTCTATCTCTAGATGCCCTATGGCAAAAACTTCTACCAAAAATAAATAAATAAATAAATAAATAAAGACAAGTGGTTAAATCTAAAGAATGAATGAAGGGGTAATGAGGAAAGAAAGGGTGAAAAGAATGTAGTCAATGCCCAGGTAGAAGGAACAGCAATTGCAAACCTCTGCGGTTAGAGATGAGGATCGCAGAGTTTAAGTGTTCTGGAACACTCCCCCAGGTAACTGTCAGAGTGGCTGACATTAAAAAGAAGTATTAGGAATGGTAATTCGCACATTAAATTAGGATTATTGCTATTAATAAGCACAGACCTGTACCTAGTAGTCACTTCCTACCAGTCAATCCCTGATATTTAAACAAAAGGGAAAGATAATTTTGGAGAAGGACTTCGCGTGAAGACTCGTGAGACTTACACGCTGGCCCAGACGATCACACATCGTCTACACTCACGGTGTTGAGGCCAAACAGTTGCGCGGAGAAAGCGTGGGGTCTCTTTGACCCCAGATCTCATTGGCCTTTCAAAGTGAAACTGCTGAACGATTGGCTGCGGAGTTACCCAGAGACCTGCCCCGTCGCTGATTGGATGAGAGGGCCAAACCTTCCCTCCTACCCGCCCACAGCGGCCTGTTACTTGGCAACCCACAGGCTTCCTAGGGCTAAGGCGGCACCAGCGAAGCGGAGACGTAGCGCTAGGACCACCTGCACTTACACCTCTCCCTCTTCACGCTCCAACAACACGGAGTTGTCACCTTGGGCGTCCAAGTGTGTTTTGGGATTGGGCTGTGGACGGTCCCGGCAGCGAGACACCGCAGTCGAGAAAGTGCTCAGGTTTTCCTCTTAGGTCCTCGTCTGGAGGAGAAAAGAAAGTCACTGTTTGTGTCCCAAACTTAGAAGCCATTTACCATGGAAACATTCTGGGGTTCCAGGAAACAAGTGACTTCTGTCAGTTAACTGAGTGTGAGAAGGTGACCGTCACCTCACACACCTGCTCGGAGTAAACCGAGGAGGGGGGAAGAGGCTGCAGACCCTCAGCGCGTTACCATGCACTGCAGAGCCTACTGCTTGCAGGAAAGGGACTTGTGGGAGCTGAAGCAGAGCAACCTGAAGGTAAATCCCCGGCACCTGTTGGGATGTGTTTTACTGGGTAATAATTTTAAAGAAACAGCCTAATCCGTATTTCTTCTATAAACCACAGTTTAGTTCCATTTAATTTGCCACTACAGTATTGTTTTCTTTCTTTCTTTCTTTTTTCAACAGAGTACGTGCAGTCACCGGAGATGGGAGTGGGGAGTAAGAAAGCACCCTTGGGTGGTGGTGTGGGGGCTCTGTCTCTCTCTCTCTCTCTCTCTCTCTTTCTTTCTTTCTTTCTTTCTTTCTTTCTTTCTTTCTTTCTTTCTTTCTTTCTTCAACAGAGTACATGCAGTCACCGGAGATGGGAGTGGGGAGTGAGAAAGCACCCTTGGGTGGTGGTGTGGGGGGGGAGATAGCTGTCACAATGTCACAACCCCTTCTCTTCTCTCAGGAATTTGGGCACCACACACACAAACTGCCCTGTTTTCCAAGCTAGAATGGGATGCAAACCGTTTTAACCATTGCACCACCAGCTGGCCCCTTAGTATTGTTATTCAATGAATCTATTTCACCATATTAATCGACTTCATAGTCCTAGCAGTTATTATTATTACTTTAAAATAATAACGGTTAACAACGGGGAGGAAGCACACTGCAATGAGCAATTTATGTGAACTTAAGCCTTGACTATCAAGGTCTATCAGGTCATAAGTGACTAGGTGTAGGGTTATGCCCATTAATTGTAACTTTTTAAAAATTAGAAAGATTTAATAAAGATTTGGTCCCAGATTCCATTACAGGGTTTGCTGACTCTAAAACCCTTGCTTTTACACTCCTGTTCTACTACCAATTGTCTAGCACACTTTGTCAGCATAAACAAATGCTTTTCCCTCGTTATTTTAATGCAGAAGAAAGCATTAAGCCTTTCCCCCCAAATCCCATCAGTGAGGTTATCGAGGTCCCATATCCATGAGTGCCACAGGCTGATTTATGGAAAACGGAAGGGGGGGAGAGGACATGCTCAAGGTAAAGAAGAAAGCCAGTACAGAAGGAGGGTATGGAGTGCTGCCGACAGTTGCTTCAGGTGTAGCCCCGTAGCATTTTTCTGTTTTCACCCTCGCTGCAAAAGTATTGCCTTCACTGGGAATGTTAAGAAAAATCATTAAGTCCAACAACAAACATCCCGGGGGCATGGGCCCAACTTTTGTTATTATTTCTGCTTATCTTAAACTGTACAATCCCTTGGTAAAAGAAAATTTAATGAGGGTATATATATATATATTATTATAGATAATACAAATACAGTGTTTATCCAGACAAGCACCTAACATATTTCATAACTACATGGTCGCTTCAAAAACATTTATTACATATATTTAGGCATAAGTGATAAGGTAGCCTATGAAATACATTCTCATCCCTACATTAGGACAGTCCCCCAAGTGCAGGAACACTTTTGTTTTATATGCAAGCGTAACTTGGGAATTTTCTTCTTAATGAAAATTTTACTTCATGACTTACAAAGCGCAACCATGCAGTTGTAAACAGCTTTGAAGGAGCATGCTTTCCAGCTATTTCCTTTCTGTCTAGTTTGAATCTTAAATTGGCTACTGACTTACACAAACATCATATGTTCACTCCAATAGGACCTTCTAGTCCTATCGTGATTTCCACATTTATCATTTATTTTACTAAATTCAGAAATAATGTACTATTTTTTGGGAACCAACGGTTGGCGTAATGGCTATGTCGCTGGACTCCCGCGTAGTCGACCGTGGTTCACTTCCCAGACCCGGTGGCTTAAACTCACGCCAGGCGCGTGTGCGTGCGTGCCCAAGATCCTGAGAGGAGAATGGAGGAGAAGGGATTGCGGCGTGACCATCCCCCCTGGGGGGTGATTTCTCGCTTTCTGTCTCTATGTCTCTCTCTGTCTGTCTGGCGAGCGCATGCGCCCTATAGCAAAAACCTCTCCAAAAAAAAAAAAAATGTACTATTTTAATCATTGAAAATAAGAATTTGCTGTGACATGTGCTTTCTGGAATCTAACTCAGCTAATAAATTAACTTACTTAACTACCTTAATAGGACATATCCCAGCTCCCCAAATCAACAAATAGTAAATTTATCAAGAAAAGAAAATTTAGAATTTTTGAAATTCAAAGTAACCTGATATGTAATGATCAAACATCAATAAATGCTTAATTTTTTTAATTTCTTCTGATTTTGTTTTTAAATTAAAGGGTATTACTGCCTTGCCTGTAAGTGAAGATATGATGAAATGGGAAGCTGAAATTGAAGGTCTACAGGACTCAGTTTGCCATGGTTTGTGTTTCCAAAACCAATGTATTTTTTTTAATTCTTTGTATCAATCATAACTTATCTTCTTGATATGTATAATGAGTTTGTATTGTATTTTTCTGGAATTCTTTTTAACATGTATAAGTTACATCAATACTATAGGATTCCAAAAGTCACATTTTTTTTCTTATTGTATGACTTCTTTGGCATTTGTTATATATGCAAATTTTGGTATTTGTAGTTTTCTTTAAGCCAATGTTATTACATTTTTTAAGAAGCAGGTACAATAAAAACATATCAAGTGACAATATCTTTTGAGTCTTCCATGAAATCAGAGAATAGCTATCAAAATTCTTATTAGCTTCAAGATCCCACTATTTGCTCCTTTTTTCCCTCTATGATGATCCCCCAAATTTCCATAAATCAAATCCGTAAGAGGACTGGGTCACTATAAACTTAAATGACCATGTGTTTTTTCAATCATGGGTTAACGAGATAGATTCCTAGAGTGAGGTAGGGAAGAAAAACGTGAAAGCTGATAGTTCCAGTAAAATGTAACATATGCCATTATGGACTTTGACCAGAACAGGGGACGATCAGTTGCTTATGCCTAGGGAAGTCAGGAGTAGCTTCTCAAGGAGGTGACATATGTGTTGATTCCTGAAGGGTATGCAAGTTTGTCACATTCGGCAGGAGGAGAAGGAAGTTCAGGGAGAGTCAGAGTGCTGGAAAGACTTATAGGCAGGAAAGGGGGCAGCAAATTCTGAGCATAGTAAGTTTGGGCAGTATTACAGTGAAAGGAGCTAGCGGTAGGGGGACCAGAGGTAGTGGATAGAAAGGACTGGTGGGGGGACCAGCAGCTGGTGTAATGACTATGTTGCTGGACTCCCATGTAGTCAACTGTGGTTTGAGTCCTGGATCTGGTGGCTTAAACTCATGCCGGGCACATGTGCATACATGCCCAAGATCCCGAGAGAAGGGATTGCAGCATGGCCACCCACCCCAGGGGGTGATTTCTCGCTTTCTGTCTCTCTCTCTGGCTAGTGCATGGGCCCTATAGCAAAAACTTCTGCACGAAAAGAAAAAGAAAAAAAGAAAGGACTGGTGAGAAAGAGGCTGAAAATAATAGTGAGATTAGATTGTGAAGAGTCTATTATACTATCCAGAGGAGTCTATGCATTGGATGAAACACCACGAAAAGAAAAAGAAAAAAAGAAAGGACTGGTGAGAAAGAGGCTGAAAATAATAGTGAGATTAGATTGTGAAGAGTCTATTATACTATCCAGAGGAGTCTATGCATTGGATGAAACACTTTACTTAAAAATACAGTCATGGCAAAACTGTAAAAAAAAAAAAATTTCAGTGTTAATCAAATTAGAGTTAATAAGTATGATATGACCCTTTAGTAAAAATGCTTATTTCTGTATCAAAGGTTTAGTCTTCCGACTGACTGTAGATTTTACATCGGAGTACAACTCTGTCCCTCCAGTTGTGAGATTTGTCCCTCCAATTCCTTTTCATCCAAATGGTAAGGATTAAATGAAACTTTTTTTTTTAATCATTGGGGGCTCTGTGTCTATTATTCTTACTTCTTATTAGTCTTTAATAATTACATTTCTTGGGCTGGTCCCATGGCCCAGTGGTTAAAAGTGCTGGATCTCCCAGGGCCAACCTAGTCATTTGAGTGCTGGACCTAGCAGACTGAAAGACATACCAGATGTGTGTGTCAAAATTCTGACAGAATGGAGAAATGGAGGAGAAGTGATTATGAGGAGAAGCATACCCCACTGGGGTTGCTTTCTCCCTTTTCCTCTCTGTCTTTGTTCTGGTGAGCACACATGCTCTTTAGCAACATTTTTTTTTTTTGAGAGATTTTTGCTATAGGGCGCGTGCGCTCGCCAGACAGATAGAGAGAGACATAGAGACAGAAAGCGAGAAATCACCCCCCAGGGGGGATGGTCACGCCGCAATCCCTTCTCCTCCATTTTCCTCTCGGGATCTTGGACACGCACGCACACGTGCCTGGCGTGAGTTTTAAGCCACTGGGTCCGGGATGCAAACCGCGGTCGACTACATGGGAGTCCAGCGACATAGCCATTACGCTAACTGCTGGTTCCCTTTAGCAACATATTTTTCAAATTATATTTTTAGCACCTTTATTATGATTTTTAAAATAATTATGCTCCTTGAGAAAAAAAAAATCACCTTTAATCCTAATACAAAAAGAGACTACTCCAGACATTTTGCTAAGGTTATTTCCTTTTTCCAATACATTTATTTTTTTTCTACATAGTTTAGGCATTATATATAAAGTTTTGCATCTAGCTTTTAATTTATGATTAAGTGTCTTTTTCTTGCAATATTAAACATCTTCAAAAGATTATCTTAGGGACCAGTAGATGTCATAAAGCTTACGTCTTTGGATTCCCACATAATTGACTGCAATTTGAGTCCCGGAGTTCAGCAACAATCATTATGCTAACTGCTGGTCCCAACGAGTAAATTCTTAAAGGATCAAAAATCTAAACATTTGGGGGCCAGCAGGTGGCTCGATGATTAAGGTGCTGGATTCCCACATGGCTGACCATGGTTCAGGTCCCAGACCTGATAGCTTTCTTTCTCACTTCCCTCCCCACCCCATTCTGTCTCTCTCTGGTGAGCACATGCCAAATTGAGAATAATCTTACTAGTTTAAATAAGCATTTCTTTGAATACTTGTAAACATGTTTTACTTTTTAAATTGTATTTCTTATTTTGTGACCTATCTGACATAATTGACAATGTTATCACATTGTCCTAAATGTTGCAGTTTCCTTAATTTATCCATCTTAATTTTTTGTGCTTTCTTTTTTACATCTTACATTTTAAAATTTTTATGTAGTCAGATCTACAGTCTTATCCTGATATTTGCAGTTGTTTTTAATAACTTTAAATTTAGATTATCTTTCCTGAAAACAAAATTAAATAGTAATTTTAATTTTCTTCTAGTTGTTCTGTAGTTTTATTTTTCATACTTAACTCTATTTTTAAAGAACAAACACTAAATTAATTCATTGTGCTATGGCATAGACCAATCTTCTATATATCTTTGCAACTGAGTATAAAAGGCCAGAGCTGGAGGGAAGTTCTGCCCATCAGTATTTGGATTCCATTTCTGGGTCTGAGGATTTATTCTGTCACCATTTCCAGCCCACAGGAAGAGGAAAAGAGAAAAAGCAGCAGACAAAACAGATGCCTTAAGAGAAAACAATCTAGAAACGTCATACTTATGCTTGTGTCCCATGATTAAACTCAGTCACATGGCCATGTCTTGTTAAAGGGGAGGCTAGAGAAAACAATTTGGGCATCCATGTATTCAACCAAAACAACATAGGGATAGGCAAAATGTTTCTCATTACCAAGAAAAGAAATAGAAGAGGAGTAGAGACAAATAATTTTTCTGGTTTATCATTTTAATATTAATAAGTTTTAAATAACTCTTTTATAGATTAATGTTAATATTATTTTAATACAGTAGACCCATATACTGGCAAGCCCTGTATAGATTTTTTGGACAATCGTGTGAAGTGGAATGGAAGGTATACATTGAGTAGCATCTTACTTGCCATACAGGTAAGAACAGATTTAACGTAATGCTCTCTTTAACCATTTTAATAACCCCAGTTATTCAAAATATAAATGGACTAAAATACATAGTGCATATTTAAATTTTTTAATGATTTGACACATTATTTAAATCACTATTTGTATGTCAAGACTATGAGTGGCACTTAACTTATAAAGACTATTATGGGAACCAGCAGTTAGCGTAATGGCTATGTCGCTGGACTCCCACGTAGTCGACCGCGGTTCGTGTCCCGGACCCGGTGGCTTAAACCTCACGCCGGGCACGTGTGCGTGCGTGCCCAAGATCCCGAGAGGAGAATGGAGGAGAAGGGATTGCGGCGTGACCATCCCCCCTGGGGGGTGATTTCTCGCTTTCTGTCTCTATGTCTCTCTCTGTCTGTCTGGCGAGCGCACACGCCCTACAGTGAAAATCTCTCAAAAAAAAAAGAGAAAAGACTATTATAATGATGATGAAGGAAAGTACAGCTTTATTGTAATACACAAAGCAAGAAAAGCAGGCAGCTCATGCTGAAAAGACCCTGTCTCCCCTGAGGTGTTCCCCACTTGTGTTTTTTGGGAAAAACAAAATAATAATAATAAAGTACTTGCTGGATGGAAAGCAGAAGCCAGAGACAGTGAAAAGGAAAGTGAAAAATCACCCTCCAGTGGGGATGGCTACCCACAATCTCTTTTATTCTACTCTCCTCCTGGGACTTTGGGTACACACGCAAATGCACCCAGCATGAGTTTCAAGCCTCCAGGTCCAGGATCGAACCACGATCGGCCATGTGAGTGTTCAACTATGTAACCACTATGCCACCTGCTGGCCCCTCTACATGCATTTTATAAGGGCAAAATTACAAACGGTTCCAGGCACATGATCAGTTCAATGATTGATTCAAGAGGACTTGATCATTTGTGGGCATTCTTGATTGGTGAAGCCTTAGATAATCAAGTTTCTGTTCAGGTTTCTGGAACTATTCAGCCTGGGGTCTTTGAGCTCACAGCCAGCCGTTTCCGTCCTATAAAGCATCTTACATTTTGAAATTAAAACCTTATCTTTCCTTTAAGTGAAAGTTTTAGAGGTCTAATTGCCCGCTATTATTTTTAACTGAAATAGATATTTAAAACCCTTTAAAATTAGACAATGTGTATTTTATAAAAGATGGAAAGAATCATTTGTATGGTTTCAATTCTAGAAATATAGTCTTTGATTTTCCTTTGGCTCCTAATTTCATTTCCTAATATTTAACGGACCATTTAGATCTTCCTCATTCATGGATCTTGCAGTCCTCAGAAAGGGGAGTCGAGTGACTACAACCTAAAATGTGCAACTTTATCCTTTATTTCTGACAGTGCTAGCTACTTTCTCTTATAAGTATTCACAGCACACCCAGTACATAATATTAAATGAGAGATTTTCTCCTTCTCTCAGATATATTCCTGTTTCCCAAATATCACCTTTACCTCGGTTCGTGGTTCTTAGAAGCATGATTCAGTGTTGTGCAACTCCTGACCCTTAAAAACACTCCTTTTGGTTCTGGCAGGTGGAGTGGTGGTTAAGAATACTGGACTCCCACATGGCCAACCACGTTTTGAGTTCCAGACCTGGTAGCTTGCTTTCTCCCTTTCTCTCTTTCTTTCTCTCTCTCTCTCTCTCTTTCTCTCTCTCTCTCCCCCATCACATTCAAATAAATAAATACATAAATAAAGTTAAATAAAATAATTAATTTAATTTAATTTAATTCTTTTTTAAAAAGGCACTCCTTTCTCAGGGCAGCAGGGGGTTTGAAAATTGAGTGTGCAATTTTGCGTGTGCTGAAAATCCCAAGATAAGAATGGAGGTGACAGGATTGCTGTGTGGTCATCCTCCCTGGGAGGTGATTTCTCACTTTCAAAATTCCTACCCCCCACCCAATGCAAACACATGTGCCCTAAGGCATAAAACAAACAAACAAAAACCCAAACCTGCTTTCTCACACCAGTGCTGAAGTATATACTTCAGGGACCAGCAGATGGTGTAATGGTTACATCTCTAGACTCCCACGTAGTTGCCCACAGTTTGAGTTCTGGACCCAGCTGTTTAAAACTCACTCCAGGCACATGTGCATGCTTGCCAAAAACCCAGAGAGGACAATGGAGAAGGGATTGCGTCATGGCCATCCCCCCAGGAGGTGATTCCTCACTTTCTGTCTCTGTTTCTCTCTGGTAAGCACACACACCCTATATCAAAAATCTTTCTCAAAATAAAAAAAAAAAGGTATATATTTGAGTGGCATATATGTTTGCTGCTTCGACTGCCTAGATCTTGTTTAGTGATATTTTGCCTGTCCATGGACCTACTTAGTGTTAATAAACTTTGATTAGCTGGAATTCTTGGAGCATATGGTATTCTAGCTTAGTTGAATCTTCTCAACCAGAAATGTAATATAATATATATTAATAGTATAGAAATATATTAGAAATATAACATGAATTTTATTTTCCCTACTCTAATTTTTAAAATAAATATAATAGTTAATATTTTAGCTAGTCATTGCATCCTGAGTAAAAATATAATCTTTTAAAATACTCAGTGTTCAGTTTCTTGATTCATTCATTCTCAGCAAAATGTACTGAGCGCATCTACATGTGTGAGGCCGTAGTTTGAGAAAGAGACCTTTGAGCAATAACTTTAAGAAAGTGAACAAATGTGATATGTAGATATGTAGGTTGATCTTTTGGATTCCTTCCAACTAAGACATAATCCAATCTCTTCCACTTAAACTGGGAGAGTAAAACTAAATGTTCTCGAAAGGTCATGAGTGAGGGCAAGGTGGAATGAACTGGTAGATTTTGAACTGTAGAGTAAGAAAAGGAGACTCAGGGGTTCGACTGCTTGTCTTCACATCCTGTTTCTGGGACTTGCTACCTTTGCACCATTGGACAAGTTTCTTCACAACTCAGTGCCTCAAATTCATCATCAGTAAAGTGGAGCTGTTGCTAAGAACTAACTCATGTGCTTGGGAGAATGAAATTGAAGCATGTAAAGAATGTAAAACTGTGCCTAAGAAAAGAATTCCATACATAGTTATTATTCTGATTGTTCTTACTATTAAACAGTAATGTAAGGTAGAACGGCATGGTGCCAGGTATGTCATGTAAAGCCAGTACATAAGACAGTCATTTGCCCTTTTATTTTTCAAATACATTAATACAACAAACATGCCCACATTACAGGAGACTTAAGAGGTCATGCAAAGGAAAAGAAAATAACTGATAATCATAAAGAAAAACCGTAATCCCACTTCTATTACTATTTCCTTCTGATCTTTTTCCTCATGTTTCTGTTTCACATCTTCCCTGGTTCCCATGGTCTCTGCAGGGCTAAACACACATCCTGTTGCACAGATTAGGATGTACTTCTCACACCTGGGTTTCACTCTCCCTGACACACCATTCGGTCCCACTCCTCGTTACATCTTCATGCTTTCCTTTGTCCACATTGTATGGATCAACTCAGGCCAAAAAGCATTTATAAAGTTCTAAATGCTAGCGTTACGAACCCCAGGAAGGCTTGGATCTCAAAAAGGGCTCGGTCTGACCTGCAGGCAGCTGTTCACAGGAGAGTCAGATCAAATGAGTAGGACAGTTTCCCTCATTTCTTTCCTAAGTTGAATTTATGGCTTTACTTCGAGGAGTTTCCTTTGCCATTTACTTAACAGAGTCTACCATAAGCAGATGTTTATTAAAACTCTGTAATTATTGTAACGCACATTCTGTTTCTTGATCTGTCTCCTCCTCCTGGACTCTGAGATCAGAGAGAAACAGGTCTGATTCGTTTTTTATTTCCTAGTAGCGACCAAGGACAATGATGACCTTTAGTACGTACTAAGTGAAAAGAATGAATGAGCTTGAATATTTACATTGTTGTAATTGTGAGTATATATAAAGTTATATCTGTGTGTGTGTGTGTACACATACACATACATATGTAAATGAATATGTAGATATATGCTTATGTATAAGTTACATATTCTGGGTTTTTGTTATTTTTGTTTTTGTTTTTAGTTTTGCTGTAGGCCATGTGTAATTGCTGGTGAGAGAAAGAACGTGGAAAAGCACCCTCTAGGAGGGAGGGCCACCCATGTCACAATCTACTCTCCATCCTCCTCTCAGGACTTTGGGCATGCAGGAACATATGACTGCAATGTTTTTCACACCTCTGGGTTTGAGACTCAAACCATGCAGTCAGCTATGTGGGTTTTAGCAGCCTTAACCCCCACACCACTTGCTGGCCTCCGATTTTGTTTTTGTTTTTGTTTTCATTTTTGACTAAACATTTTAATCTTGAGTAACTTCTGTATGGCTACAATTATCAATAGGTTTTAGTAGTGACTCTATAGTGTTTTGAAAGCCTGTGCTGCCAAGAGAACTTTGTGTGTTGATGAAGTGCCACTGTCTGCACTGTCCAGTACAGTAGCCACTACTCACATGTGGTTACTGAATACCCGAAATATGTACGCTACCAGGGCTGGGACTCAACCCCTGCTTGGCCTTGGGGGATTGGGCTTCCTTTACGCAGTGTTTATCCACACACTATGGGCCCAGCCCAAATTTTAATGATCTTAAACCTAAGTTTAAATAGTCACCTGTGACTAGTATCCACTGTGATGGACAATACAAATAGACATCATGATTACTGGCTACTGCCTTTGGAAAAAACAAATGAGACTGATTTCTTTCCTTTTTTTTTTTTTTTTTAATTGCCAGAAGGCTTATGTACTTGTCTGAGGGAGAGGGAAAGAAAAAGAGAGAGGGGACCAGCAGATGGCGTAATGGTTTTATCACTGGACTTCCACATAGTTCACTGCTGTTTGAGTCCTGGACCTGGTGGCTTAAAACCTCACACCGGGTGTGTGTGCATGTTCGCCCAAGATCCCAAAAGGAGAATGAATGAGGAGGGATTGCGACATAGCCATCCCCCCTGGAGGGGTGATTTCTCACTTTCCGTCTCTCTGTTTCTCTGGCAAGCACACATGCCCTATAGCAAAAATCTCTCTCAAAAAAAAAAAAAAGTAAAAAAGAGAGAGAGAGAGAGACAGAGAAGGGAAAGCACCCCTCCGGTGGGACATAATCACACCATAATCTCTTCTCTATTTCTCCATTTGGGGCATCTTTTTCAAGCTGTTGAGCCAGGATTTGAACAGCAGTCGGCCATGTGGAATCCAATTCCCTTAACCATTTGGCTATGGGGCTGGCCGAAGACTTATTTCTAATGATCGCATTGATATTCAAGAAGATGGTGTAAAGATGTTATTTAAAATATTTTGACGCCTGGCCATCTGTGGTTGTGATCTTCCACAGTACTGATGCCACTTGGGAGGGTCCTGGTTAATGTCCCAAATCTCCCTGTACACCCCAGGTGCATGATCTTGTCCTTGATCCTGGTTGGTTGAGGCCTGGGGTGAATCACAGCATGAGGACCTTTTGGGGGGTTATTTCTCATGGTAGAAATAAATAAACTTTAAAAAATATTTTGAAAGCTAAATATAGTAAATTTATCTCCACCTAAAAGGTTTATCATTTTAATTCCTTTGAAAACTTTGTACTTCCATATGTAATGCAAAAGTAAATATCAACACCCACCAATAAAATGAATTCCAAATTCATGGACTTTAATCAATTGGGTATTACAAAGTGTATCTACCAGTATAATTGTTCACTAAAGTTTAAAAGTTTTGTATTTTTCCCCCAGAGAGTTTTTTTATGTTGTTTTATTCTACTATGTAGCTAATTTAAAAGTTGGACTTTTCTTTTCTTTTTTTTTTTTTTACTCTTTTAATAGGGCATGTGTTTTATACATTTTTTTAATTTTTAAAAATCATTAAATCGACAGTTGTTTGTGTATATATTATGTGCATATGTCTAAAGCACAGTGGCTAATGAGAAGGCCATTAAATAAACTTTACCAGATGTGCTCTCTGAGTGAAATTATCTCTCCAGCCAAAGACCAGAAATTTGTTCTTGAAAACAAGTTTCATCTGCTTCCCACCCACTTTGACAGGTATCATGCAATCCACAGTGAATCCTTATTTAAGAAATTATAATATTCTTGGAAATATAGTCCAATGCGTTGTCCCAACAGAAAAGCTCAAGTAACAGCAGAAGAGTCTCCCTGCTTTTGAAATATCAAATGATTGTTTTCATTAGTGAAAGATTGCTATAATTTCCTTTACTCTTAATCCATGATTATGCACTTTGGCCTCCTGTTCCTAGGTATTTTGGTTTTAACCACATTTTGTTATAGTTTACATGGTATGACATAACATTCCGAATGCTAAATTTGAATAAATGTTTGCAGTTTAGGAAAAAAATTAATTTCGGGGTGTCAGAAAAACAAGATCATGGCCTAGCAGAACTATTAAATTTTCGTTACTACTAGTTACTTGTTTTGTCCAGGTGGAGAGATACTATCGTACACAGAATTTTTAAAAATATCCCTCTAAGACTCCCATCCTCCAGTCATTCAATTAAGCACTAATGTAAGTATTTCTGTGAAAACATTTACAGATAGAATTATGGTTACTGATCAGATGACCGTAAAATACGAAAGTTGTCCCAGATTGTGCCAGTGGACCCAGTGTAATCACATGAGCCCTTAAACACAGAATAGAAGACAGAAGAGTCAGAGAGATACAGCCGAAGCAGAGGGATGTAGCAGAAATGGTTGCCAGGGAGATTCCAAGTATACAAATGATTTATTATACACTATTGCTGCTTTGAGATATAGGAATCCACATATAGGGGCTAGAGAAAGGTCTCTGGGAGTTGAGGGTGGCCCTCAGCAACCAGCAAAGAAACAGAAACATCAGTCTTTTTTTTTAATTGCCAGAGGGCAAGTGTGGTAGCCAGAGAAAGGATGGGGAGTGGGGGGGACCTCTCAGTGGGGCGAGGTCATGTCACAATCTCTTCTCCTTTATTTTTTCATCCTTTCAGGATTTGAGTCATGTCTGCACACACACACACACACACACACACACACATGTGCTTGATGTGTTTTTTAAGCCACCAGGGCTGGGATTTAGTTGCGATGGGCCATGTGGGATCTAGTGTAGTGTCCCCTAACCACTAGGCTGCTGGGGCCAGGCTAGCACCTCAGTCTTGCAGCAAGAAACTGAATTCAGACAACTACTTAGAGTTAGATTCTTCACAGAGCCTTCTGATAAGAGCCCAACCAGCTGGCATCTTGATTTCAATTTTGTTAAATCTAGAAAATAGAAACTAGTCCAACCACCTCAGACTTTCCACCTACAGAAATAGGAGATAGTAAATTTATGCTGCTTTAAACTACTAAACTTGTGGTAATGAGTTGTAGCAGCAATAATAAATTTGTACACATACTAAATTAGTCATTCAGTAATCCGGAGGGTTGTTGAAGGGTGTGCAAGCCACAGTGCGTAATACCCATGAACTAACTGTGGTTTCATGTTAAAATGTAAGGTTTTATAGAATGGAAATATTTTCTAATGTTTAGTTCCTTTTTCATGTAAATTCAGTTTTAAAAATATATTGTAGGAAGGAATAAGTTACAGGAAGGAACTTGTAACTTGCTTTGATCCTAATGTTTGGCTCATGAACGAACAATATAAAACCAAAACAGATCAAGCGTCTCATGAGTGTGGAGACTATCTCGTATTCTCTTTCTATCTCCAAGTCCGTGTATATCAAGTATTTAATAAATGCTTGTTGAAGGTTTTGCGTACTGGTTTGTCAAGTATTTAATAAATGCTTGTTGAAGGTTTTGAGTATTGGTTTATTTTTTTGCTCTAAGGAAAAACTTCACTTTAAAAACTCTATGTTGTATGTTTTCCTATAGGTTATGCTTTCAAATCCAGAACTAGAAAATCCAGTGAATTTTGAAGCAGCCCAAAAACTGATTGAAGATGAATCTATGCACACCACAAAAAAACAAAGACGTTTCCATGGCCCGTTACAGTGTAAGAAGCCTACTTATTGTTATTTGGAGATTATTGATTATACATTATATATTGATAGCAAATAAGGGATTTAGCAGATAATTGTTATATAAGAGAGTATTTGAATATTTTTTTGTATCCATGTCCAGGAATGAAATGATACTAAGATCTCTCCTACTATAACTCTTCCTCAAACCAATCAGTATGATCCTTTTTTTTTTTTTTAAAGATCAGCAAAAATCTTAAGATTACTGTTGCTAAATATTATGGTCAGAAGCGGCCCTATGGTCCAGTGGTTAAGGGCCAGGTCCCATATGATTAACTGTGGTTTGCATCCCAGCCCCAGTTGAAGTACATGCCAGATGCATATTGCATACATGTTTAAAATTCCAACAGGAAAGAGATGTGGAGGAGATGAGATTGTGGTAACTGTGCCCCACTGAGGGCTGCTCTCTCCTTCACCCTCTCTCTGCCTCTCTAGCAAGTACATGCACCTTCTGGGAATTAAAAAAAAAATTAAAAAGGAATGATCATATGAATGGGTGGTGCCAATTAAAACTAGTCTACCTGATCAAAATATGGTATCTTATTCTAACTCTTTGATTTATGAAGCATATTCTTTAGACTTCACATGCAGTACATGATCTTACTAATCTGAACCTCCTTTCCTCTTGATTAGCAAGAGGTTTAACAAATTTTTCTCTAGAAAGTTCCCTCCCCAGATATTTCTTCTAAGAGTTTATGTAGAAATGGCACTGGAAGTTGTTCAGTCTGTTCAGTCAGCTCTTCTGCACTGCCGACCAATCTTTCTCTGACATTTTAGTATCCTGCCAGTGGCATCTTTGTGACATTTCATTCCATTGCCTCCACTGTTCCTGTGCTCTCTATCCAGTTAACAAAGCAATGCCCTTCACTCCTGGGACCCAGAAGGGTTTCCACAGGTGAGAGCTAGGACTCTGGTGATGTCGATCTTTTCTTTCTATCTTGTCCCTCCTTCTGTGAGGAAAATAGAATAAGCTTGCATAGTCACCATTATCATTACCTCCCCCGTCAGTAGACCTTTCTCATTTGTGATTTTTCTCTAAGATTTCCATTGTTTCTTTTTCTAATTCCCTCTAGGACCCCCAGCCTACCAAGTTTGTACGATTGTGACCATATGAAATTGCTCCTTCCAGGGCTTTTGAGTTTGATGCGAATCAAGTAGTGTTTGACCAGTCTTATTTCTAGTATGTCTAAGCGTATCTCTGTGTCCTTCAGACATTTCCCTGACAGTTTTGAGGCTGGTTTGTACACAGGGAAGCAGTACTGCTTCACTCTGGTCCCATTTCTGACCTACCAGGATACTGTAGCAGTCACTGCTGTATCCTTTGCACTTAGAATTACACTGGTACTCCGCAAATATTTGTGGAATGAATGAATGATATATATATAATTTTTTTTATTTTTTTAGTTTTTGCTACATATGCTTGCCAGAGAGAAAGAGAAAGTCAGAAATCACCTTCGAGGGAGTGGTCATGCCGCAATCTCTTCTCCATTCTCTTCTTGGGATTCTGGACATGCGTGTACATATGCCCGGTGTGATTTTCAAGTCAACAGGTCTGGGACTCAAACTGGAGACTTGTCCTTATGAAATTTAGTCACCTTAACCTCCACATCACCTGCTGGCCCCAATATCACTGAATCTTTTACTGAGCTCTCACGTACTGTCATTACAAACAAATATCCTGTCTGTAATAAAGCTATGTCCATATCCTATGAATGGCAGTAGTTTTAAAGAATTTGCTACCATAATGATTCCATGTGATAGACTGATTGTGCCACGCAGAGGGAAAGAATGAGAAGAAACCTGGTGAGAAGGAAGCCCTTTCTTTTGTCCTCCATGGAGAGATGTCACCTGTCACTCTTTTCAGTTCTCCAACTTTGCCATCATGCGTGACAGAAGAGCTGCCCAAAATTGCCAGTCCACCCAGCAAGGGAGAAACAAAAAACAGTACTTTAGCAGGTTTTCTCTATATTCTTTCACTTATGTTTGTGAATTACATGGAAGTCCAAGACAGCAAGTAAGTATTAACCTGCTTGCCATGTGGGCCGGACTGGTGGCGGCTAGGGTATGGTGAAGAAGATGACTTTCAGCAGCTGAAAAGAGAAAGTGCCGAGATATAGCAGGGACAGCAGCTGGGCATCAGAAATGAGAAACTGTTGCAAACTCATTCCTCTAAATTAGACAGTAGCATGGGGAGGGGCTTCAAAAAGTCATGGAAAATTGAATTAAAAGACAGAAATACAAACTTCAGTTCTCAACGTAAGGTCAGTTGTATAAGCAGTAATACCAGCCATTTATCCATCCCTAAAGAACTGAAGTTCTCAGAGACCACCAGGTGATATGATGGCTAAGGTGCTGAATACTCCCCCATGGCCGACTGCAGTTTGAATCCTGGGCCTGGAGGCTTGCTTTCTCTATCTCTATTTTTCTTTCTCTTTCTCTCTCTCTGTCTGGTGAAATTAAATAAATGAATAAATAAATTTTTAAAAAAGAAAATGTTTATCAAAAAAAGCCACTGACGTTCTCAAGAATTAACTATGCCAATGCAATATTTTTTACCTTATTCACTCAAGGCAAATAAGTGCTGTTTGGTGGCGTGGTGGTTAAAGGCGCTGGATTCCCACATGGCCAACTGCGGTTCGAGTCCTGGACCTGGGGGCTTGCTTTCTCACTTTCCCCTTTCTCTCTCTCTCTCTGTCTCTTCTGGTCAGATTTAAAAATAAACAAATAAATAAATAACAACAACAAATGGAATTAAATAAATAAATAAATAATTCTTTTAAAAAAAAAAGACTTTTTTAAGATTGGGAAACAGGGGCCAGCAGTTGACACAATGGCTATATCGCTGGACTCCCATGGTTTGAGCCCTGGATCTGGTGGCTTAAACTCACACCAGGCACAAGTGTGTGCATACCCAAGATCCCGAGAAGAGAATGAAGGAGAAGGGATTGCAGTGTGGCCATGCCCCATGGGAGGTGATTTCTTGCTTTCTGTCTCTCTGTCTCTTTCTGGTGAGCGCACGCGCCCTATAGCAAAAATCTCTCCAAAAAATTTTTTTTAAAAAAGACGGAAACAAAAAGAAGTCAAAAGGAGCTAAGTCAGGAGTGCGAGGCACATTTTATACGTAATTACTTCAGATCACAACTCTGAAAAGATTGCCCTTGTTACCACAGAGGAGCAGGAGCATGCTTGGTGTCAAAAGACTCTTTGCTGAAGCTTTCCTGGGTGTTTTCTGCTAAAGCTTCAGCTGACTTTCTGAAAACACTCTCATAATAAGCAGATGATATGGTTCTTTCTCTCCCTCCCCAATACCCCCCAGAAAATCAGCAAGCAAAATGCCTTGAGCATCCCAAGTAGCTATTACCATGATCTTTGCTCTTGACCCTTCCACTTCCGCTTTGACTGGACAGACAACTTTCATCTCTTGGTAGCCACTGCTTTAATGGTGCTTTGTCTTTAAGATGGTATCAGTAAAGCCGTGTGTCATCTCCTGTTACAATTCTTCAAAGAAGTGCCTCAGGATCTTGATCCCACTCATTAAAAATTTTCATTGAAAGTTCCGCGCTTGTCTGCAGCTGATCTGGGTACAAAAGTTGGAGTTCCAGTCGAGTAGAAACTTTGTCGATTTTAATTTTTCAGTCAGAATTGTATAAGCTGAACCAATCGAGATGTTTATATGATCAACTAATATTTATCTTCTGTTTACCAAGGTTGATTTGGGATTTTTAAAGCATAAGGTTCATGCCATTTAAAAAAATCTTTTGTTGAAAGAAAAGACAAGAATAGAAAAATAGTGAAAAGTAATAGTAACTAAATCTGAAGTAATGATTTTTTTTCCTTAGCCAGATGGATTCCTGTAGCTTTTGATAAATAAGAGGATAATCCTAATAAGTTTCAGATACTTATCTAAATAAACTACAATATAATAACTGACAGATGAGTCATAATACTAGAATAGAGAGGATTTATATAAATGTTAGGGAGATTATCATAATAATTTGTATTACGTACTTTTAAAAACCTGATAATTGTGCAATTATCCTGTTCTGCTTGTGGTTAGGAAAATGTTGTCATAAGCATTTGATTCTTCCTGATTCAAGCTCCTAATTAGTTCACTGTTTTTTTTTTCTTTTAATGTTCATAATGATAGAGTAATTTTTAAAGAAAATTATCTTTACAATTGAAATGTATAATGTCTCACAGGATTTAGGGTCTTGGCTTCTTTTCTTTTTAGATTAAATTTTTTTATTTAACAAATTTTTATTAATATATGTTACAAATATTTTTATTTGATCATTTATTATGATTATTATTTTTTAAATTTGCTATAGGGCACATCCACTCACCAGATAGAAATGCAAGTTGGGGTGGGAGTAAGAAAGCAGCCCTCCAGGTCTGGGACTGGAACCATAGTCGGCCATGTAGAAGTCCAGTGCCTTAACCATCACACTGCCAACTGGCCCCAAAATAAGCATATTTGTTTTAGTTAGGTGTAGGAATACCCCTTCCCCTGGAAAAATACTTAATCGATGCTAGAGGAAATAGAAATGTAGTCCAGTAGTATTGCTTACTTGTTAAAGAACATGAGCATTAACACCATCATCCAGAACCAGCTTTGTTGTTGACGATTACAGTGTTATTACAGATGTCCTGTTTCCTTTCAGATGTCATAATACATGGAAAACCTGAGTTTAGCAGAATGGTCAGTGTGGATCTATTTGCTTGGGCTATATACTTCTTTTTTCCTGTCTGCATTTTATTGCAAAAGATAGTCCTGTCATGTTTTAGCAAAATCTCTAAGTTGCTAGTTTTAATTTAAAATGTTGAACATTTATTTTCTATCAAAGGAATATTTGTTCATAGTTTTCAAGGACAAATAATAGGAATCTTTTGGTTTTGTTTTTCAATTTTGTAGAGAAAGATTTTTTGTTATAGAGCATGTGTGCTTGACAGAGAAACAGAGAGACAGAAGGTGAGAAATCACCCCCTGGGGAAAATGCCACACCGGAATCCCTTCTCCTCTTGGGATTTTGGGCACACACACACATGTACTTGGTGTGAGTTTTAAGCCACCAGGTCCAGGACTTGAACCATGGTTGACTTCATAGGAGTCCAGCGACATAACCATTTTCCCATCTCTGGTTCCAAGGATTGGTTCATAATGAAATACAACAGCCCTTAGAAGCCATCTTCTAATCCCGAGTTCTGCCCTCTAGAGGCAACAACAGCTTCCAACACATTTAGCTGTATTTCTGGCATTTACCATAAGCTTATTCTATACTGATTTTTCTAGAGTTTTCAGTTTGGGATATTATTTATAGGCTTTATCTTATCATTACAAAGATTTAGTTCTTATGCTGTCATTTTCACTCACATTTCCTCTCCCTCATCCTAATATAGTTTAGTTACATTAATATGATTTCGTAAATATTCGCCACAGATGAGCCATGAATGATTATCTTTCTTTTCTTGTGCACATGACCTGTTTTGTCATTCCTTTGTTTCGTTTTGTTTTATTTGTTTGTTTTTTGAAGAGAAATTTTTGCTATAGGGCACATGCCTTCTGGAGAGACAAAAAGTGAGAAATTACCACCTAGGGGAATGGCCATGCCACAATCCCTCCTCCTCCATTATCCTCTCAGGATTTTTGACATGCGCACACATGTGCCTGCCGTGAGATTAAGCCACCAGGGCTGGGACTCGAACCTCAGTTGACTATGTGGGAGTCCATTGACATAACCATTATACCATTTGCTGGTCCCTCATCCCCTTGTTTTTATATATCTATTATCTATTTGTCTCCAACACTTTCTGACAAAGAGGTAAAACAATGCCCAGTATTCAATCAGTTATATTTTTTCTCCCTTGGAGACGTCTTTCTGTGGCACTTCACCCTCCTGTTTTAGATGTCAATTGGCAGTTCTCTTGCGGGTATGCTATGATGCCCCTTTTGTCTGTCTCCTAAGTTGGAGGGCCTTCTTGCTCCCTCATTTTCCTCGTGTTTGATTTACTCCTTTGTTTTGCTGAAGCACATCTACTAGGAGCTTAGTAGTGCATAGGAGCTGAATCTTCTCTGACTTTGCATGCCTTATACAGAATTCTACTCTCATATGCTCATAGTCTGGTTAAATCTTAGTTTTACTAAATTATAATTTAGCTATTACTAAGTTATTAGGAAATATTAAATTATTAGGAAATAATTTTCTTTCAGAATTGTTACGACCCTATTACCTTCTAGTTTCTAGTGTTGCTCCCAAGAAGTCTAATTTCATTCAGATGTGCAATTCTTCACATGTGATTTATTCTCTCTGGGAGATTTTAACTTTTCTCTTTATTCCCAGTGATCTGAGATTTCTTGATAATGTTTCTTGGTGTATTCTTTTTCTATCCCCTCGCTTATCATAGAGGGCATTTGATAACTATTGAAATGGTAAATTCTAGTCCTTCAATTCTGGGAATTTTTGCAGTGATTTTTTTTCAATACTTTTTTCCCCTTTCATTTTCTCTGTTGTCTCTTCTAGACTTGCTGCTACTTGGGATGTTATCTACTGCTCTGATCCTTTCATTTTAAAATTAAACTTTAGTCTATCATCCATCTATCTGAGTTTTAAAATTACATGTTCTTGGAAATTTCCAGAAAAATGTGTTTCTGTTTCCTATTTTCTCCTTATTTATTTGTTTAGGTTGTTGTCTTTTATGATATTAACTTTCTTCAAATGTCTAGTGATCTTTGTCCATTTATTTGATAGACATAGGATGATGGTCTATTAAAAAAATCAGTTCTTAGGGTAGCATAGTGCTTAAAGTGTCAGACTCCCACATGGCTGACAGCAGTTCAAGTCCTGGACCTGGCAGCTTGACACTCACACCAGGCACATGTGCATGCTCCAAATCCCAGGAGGAGAATGAAGGAGAAGGGTTCATCCTGTGACCCTTCCCCCCATCAGGGGGGTGATTTCTTACCTTCCCTCTCACTGTCTCTGTCTGTCTCTTTCTGTGGAGTACGCAAAAACCTTCAAAATAAAAAAAGTCAGAAGTTCTGAATACAGACTGGACTTGTTGTTACTTTATTATAGGGTTATTCAATGAAAACCTTACCATTTTGTTAGACTTCACTATTTCTCCTGAGTGGAATCTTCTAGTCTTGCACAAGAGACAGGCAGACAAAGAAGGGATTATTTATTATATAATGAGAACTGGACAAGAGAAGAGGGTCAGGAATCTTGCCTGTTTGGTATTATTTGCTTTATTCCCTGTTTTCATAATCTTGCCATACTCCTGTTCTAACTGTGCCTAGTGTCCTCCAGTCCTGAGTCTTTCTGACTCGGTTTCTCCAGTGTTTAAACGTCCTCCCTCCTTCCGAGGCAGTGGTGATCATCTGGTCACACGGATGAGTGTCTAAGCCTTTGTATGCATGCTTTACCTCTTGCCCCCCCCCCCTTCAGAGGTATCTGATACCTTCAAATCCTGAGTTGTTTTTCAGGCAAACCCACTTGCTTTTTATTGGCCTCTCATCATGCAGTTAGGTTTCAAATGTCTATAGCTTGCTAAGACAGTTACCACTTGACATCTGCTTTCTATCTTAGAACAAAATTCTCGTCATCTTTCTTTTGCTCTCCTTGAGGTTTTATACTTTATTTTTGCTCCTTTATTACCACTTTATTGAGGCTTTGGAAATAGTGCACATAAAGCTATATATCCAATCTCCAAGTAAACGAGGATCCTTTCATATTTTTTGTCTTTACAGCACAATATGACAGCCTAGAGTTACCTGAAGACTCACAAGAATTTATCAAGTAAGTTTTTTAAAATATACAGTCATACATCAGTATATTTACCAATAGAACTATTGATTTAAGCTGTTCATATTTTCCATCATAATTAAGTTTTTTATATTTTTATGAAGAAAAGGAAGTAGTATCATTTTTAACAATACCTTTTAAAAATGTTTTCAGAAAAAGATAGAAAACTAAATTCTTTCTAGACTATTGAATTAAAATTGAATGTAACTATATGAACTTACCTACTCTTGCATTATATTTTTGAAATGAAAAGTGTATTGTCAAAATGACAAGCCATTGTAAGTCACAAAGCCCCCAAAAATTTAGGAGAAGATAAGGTTCTAGAGGAAGATGATTTTCTTTTTCTTTCAGAGACTTTTGTTATAGGGTGTGTATGCTCACCAGAGAGATACAGAGTCAGAAAGCAAGAAATCATCCTCCAGGGGGGATGGCCGTGCTGTAGTACCTTCTCCTCCATTCTTCTCTTGGGATTTTGGGCATGCATGCAGTCACCCAGTGTGAGTTTTAAGCCACCGGGTCCCAGACTTGAACCACGGTCGACGACTGTAGGAGTCCAGCAACATAGCCATTACACCATCTGCTGGTTCCTCTAGAGGAAGATGATTAAAGTTAGGGCTGCAGCCATCATAATTTTGGGGAGACAACCTGACAACGTGATGTCAGTTCAGTCACAAACACCTGAACAAGGTATACATCTAAAATCTCAGATATGGCTCTGTGGTACTTAGTCTCTTGAGCATTTCCATTAACTTTATGTTGATAGTGAATCAGATGGAGAGAACAGTCAATTAACTAGTGTTGAAATAGTACCGGGCTGTTGAAAAAGTCATGGTGCGTTTTTGTACAGAAAAGCTCATCATGACTTTTCCAACAACCCGATAGTGACTTTAACTCAGGTCTCCTTGACTGGTTCCATGTAACAGATGAGTACAATTGGGTAACGTAAGTGGCTTCTGTTTGTGAAACAATATTGAAAAATGTCAAGATCAATATAATCTAGTAAACAGTACAATATACTGGGACCGAGCAGAGGACATGCTGCCCTTTAATGGTGTCAACATGGTGCAAAACCAATTGACCATCCTGGCACAAAATAGTCCTATGATAAATTGCTCAAAGCATCAACAGTATCTTATCTGCTTTTAAAACATGAGTGTCCATAGAGTATCGAAAAACTCTTTTGACTAGTGGTAAAATTATTTGCATCACATAAAAATAAATGCTAGCATTTACTAATAAGGCAATAGGAACAGACTAGGCCTCTGACCCAGATAAAGGATAAATGGCACACTCATTTTGTGCCAGTCTGAACTCTCTAGAAAAGTCTTTACAGAGGACTCAATTGAAGCAGTACGATCTAGATTTCAGTGACTCTCTACACTCTTAATGTATATTTGTCTGCAATTTATTATGTATCGGTAAGTTATTTTTGCCCCTACTATGCTTGTTCTAAAATTGAGTTCAGTTATTTTTATATTTTATTTTTATTTATTTATTTTGGAGAAGTGTTTGCTATAGGGCACATGCGCTCACTAGAAAGACAGAGACAGAGAGACAGAAAGCGAGAAATCACCCCCCTGGGGGATGGCTACACTGCAGTCCCTTCTCCTTCATTCTCTTCTTGGGATCTTGGGCACGCACACACTCCCGGCATGAGTTTGAGCTGCTGGGTCTGGGACTCGAACCACAGTCAACTACATGGGAGTCCAGCGACATAGCCATTACACTAACTGCTGGTTCCTATATTTATTTTTTCAATAGCACATTCACAATAAGGTCCCAAAGAAATTATTCAAAGAGAGATGCTGCTCACAGCCTCATGTCCATCTAGCACCATCTGCTTAGAACTTTGCGTTGCTTGGTGACCTGGCTGTAGAAACATATTTCAGAGACATAGCCAGGAAATTGCAACCCTGTTTCCAAAAGACAACAAAACTCAGGCAATGTTTAGTAAACTGGCTAGAATACAGTTGGGGAAATCCAACTGATGTTCAGTAATCGAAGTTGACTTGAATTTGGGATATTTGTACATGGTCTGTAAAATACCATCTGTGAGTTATGGGGCAGGTTTTCAGGCCCTGGGAGAACAGCTACTTATTCATATATATTTCAGAATGCATTCTTTATTTTATTTTTTCTTTTTGAGAGGTTTTTGCTATAGGGCGCGTGCGCTTGCCAGAAAGACAGACAGAGACAGACAGAAAGTGAAATCACCCCCCAGGGTGCATGGCCATGCTGCAATCCCTTCTCCTCTATTCTCCTCTCAGGATCTTGGGCATGCACGCACACGCACCTGGTGTGAGTTTAAGCCACCAGGTCCGGGACTCGAACCACGGTCGACTACATGGGAGTCCAGCATCATAGTCATTACACTAACTGCTGGTCCCTCAGAATGCATTCTTGAACATTTACTCTATACAAGCATTGTACCCAAGTATTGGGGATACACTCGTAAATAATGTGTGGTCCCCAACCTCATAGAAGTTATACTCTAGGACTAGAAGCCCTTCTCTGAGGTAGAGACAAGACAGTAGAAGTAGGCCTTATTATCAGTCTTATAAGACCAATGTAGGGAAGATCTTCCCCCAGAGGATATAGTTGGGAAGCCACAGGACAAATACCAGGATCACGGCTATGGGACAAATGCTAAATTAAAATGAGTCATACTTAAAATGAGTCATACTGAGCAGAAACTTCTTCCTGTGGCTCTTACTTTTACCTAGGCTTCCTTTAGAGGTCTTTACTCTTTTGTAAATCATCTATCTCTAGAGCTACCTCCTTCATTGTAATCTAACATTTCATTGGGCTGTGCCTCTTAATTGTTGCATTACGTAAATATAGTGAGTGCAATGATAGAAGATGAGGTATTGGGGGGACATGGGAAAAATAGAAGTCTTGGTGTGGGATGTCCCTGAAGGCATATGTAAAGGCCAGCTGGTTTTTTTTGTTTTGTTTTGTTTTTAAGAGGTTTTTCCTACAGGACGCATGCGCTTGCCAGAAAGACAGAGAGAGACAGAGAGACAGAAAGCGAGAAATCACCCCCCGGGGGGATGGCCACACCACAATCCCTTCTCCTCCATTCTCCTCTCGGGATCTTGGGCACGCACACTCATGCACCTGGCGTGAGTTTAAGCCACCCGGTCTGGGACTCGAACCACAGTCGACTACATGGGAGTCTAGTGACATATCCATTACGCCAACTGCTGGTCCCAAGGCCAGCTTTTAGAAGGGGATGATACCTGAGGTGATTTCTTTATTTTCTTTTTTAAAATTAAGTTTGTTTCTTTCTTTCGTGAGAAAGAGAAAGAAAGAGAGTGAGTGAGAAGACAGAATCTTATCATTCTGCAGTCCTCCCTCTAGCTCTCTAGTCAGCCAAGATCACAAACATGCCCAGTGAGTTCAGGTCAATCCAAGATCCAGGTCCCAGGGCTCCCCACATGGCTGCAGCATTGAGTGGTAGCACCCTAAAGCCTGCACAACTGTGGTCAGGCCAGTCTAAGGTGACTTCTCAAGGCAGAATAAGAAGTTACCTGTAGTCTAAAGAAACCGGGCATTCGAGGCAAAGGGAACAGCACCTTCCAAGAACATGAAGGTGTGAGAGGGCATACTTACCAAAGCCTGACATCCTGAACAGATGGCAAAATGAATCAGGAATTCCAGGAGACAACTACAGTGTGAGTACTGGGAGCTGAGATACAAAACCAAAGCAGGAAAGGAAGAGGAGAATTGCTTGTTAGATAACCAAGAAGAGAGGAAAATGAGACAGAGTCCAAAATGCTAAATATGCACACACAAGTGACCGGCTAAATAATTTAAAGCAGCAGGCACAAGATAATATTTAAGGAATGTAGACAGAGAAACATATTACATTTGTAGTACCTATTAAAAGTCCTAAGACAAGTGTACGCCTTTGCTATAGCATTGACACTTCTAGAAATTTATCTTTAATGATATAATCAAACATGCATGGAAAGATAGATTCTAGGAATGTTAATCATAGAATTGTTTGTAATGAGAAATTGCAAACAGAATATCCAACAGAATAGATCGATTAAATAAATTCTGGTTTAGGTATATAATACCCAAAATACAGCTTTTGGACATGATTCTGGAGACTTGTATTTGCTAATGTCAAAAGTAAGTGAAGGGACTGGCTCTATGGTGTAGTGGCAATATGCTGCTCAAGGAAAGCTGGACCCCACATGCGACCATGGTTCAAATCCCCAACCCAGTCAGCTTGAAATGCAGAGAGCATGCACAAGAGTGCCCAAGATATGATGGGCTGATGACTGAGGGTAGGGATCCACAGCATGACCAGGTTCTATGGAGCCTGTTCAACTCTCCTCCTCTCTGTTTTTCACTCTCATGTTCATGAATTTTTTTAAAAAGTGAAAAATTTGATATAGAAAGTCAGTGTTAAAAGATGAAAAAGTTGGGGCTGGCAGGTGGCATGGTGGTTAAAGGCACTGGACTTCCACATAGCCAACAGCAGTTCTAGTCCCAGACCTGGCAGCTTACTTTTTCACTTTCATGCTGTACCTCTATGGTCAAATTAAAATAAATAAAGTTAAATAAAATAATTCTTTAAAAAAATGCAAAGATCTGTTGTACAAAAATATAAATACACTTAGAAATGGCTAAGATATTATGGGTTTTTTTACAATAAAAAATAAATAGAATGGGGTCATGAAATAGATATTACATTTTATACACATGTACACACACGTACACGCTTTGAGGGTCAGTTTAATATAACGGGAAAGAATCCTAGTTTTCCCATTTAATAACTATGTGACTTAAGACAAGTTAATTAACTCCCCTGTCTCTATTTCTCTATATGTAAAATAGTAATGATAATAGTACCAACTTTATAGAATCATCTCTGGAGATCAAATGAGTTAACACATTGGGACTAGCAGTTAGCGTAATGGCCATGTCGCTGGACTCCCACGTAGTCAACCACGGTTCGCGTCCTGGACCCGGTGGCTTAAAAC